GAGCTTCAGTGGGCAAATAAAATAGATTAATCTTGACGTGAAGAATGATCCAATCATTCTGTCTAGAGTAGACTTATGAAAATGCCACTGAAACAGGGGCAAATTCACAGTTGACAAAATGCATCTACTTATCTCATCAAAAGTTAATAAAACTCAGCCTTTTATAGATTTAATGAACTGTGTTACATAAAACTGAATGGACTGGGGCCAATGCTGACAAATATCTCATGGCTAATATGCTGTTCCCATGGTCTCATGCAAAAGACACAAATCTTGGTTCGGCACATCTAGAAAAAAAATTAGACTAAATAAATCTAGCAATTGCAATGACAAGACATGAGACAATGTTCTAAGTTTTTTTTTTTCAACAAACACCTACAGTCCACATAATGGAAACTGGATACTATTATGTCTTGCTAAAGATCAAGTATTTTTGTATAGATGCAAAAAGCTCCAATCTACAGAGAACATGCTGAAAAGAAAGTATGTTACTGTGACTGTATGTATTTAGAAGAGTGATAGTGGCGTGCGAGAGGAAATGTCTGTTTTGTCATTGTTATGCAAATAAGCAGAACAAAAAATGTTGTCATACCCATTTCAGTTTGCTAAAACCTTGCAACCACAACCATGAAAGTTTGCCCAACATCAGCAGGTCATGTGCTCTTCCTTCCTAGAGGCTTGTCGGGCTGTTTGCACTCGAAACTCATTGACTGAAACATTCATTTTGTAATTTCTCTGTCATCGTTTACCCTTTCAGTTATTTCAGCAAAAACGTTCAGTGGTTCAAGACAACAAATTTTAGCATGTTACTAATAAACGAAAAAAAGCAGAACATGGACATACTGTCAGCAAGTTCATTCTTCAATAGCAGTAAATTTCAAATTCTGTGCGTTTTTCAAATTTAAAACCTGTGCTCGTTGAAATAACAGGCATGCAAAGTTTCATAATTATTAACTTTGTGGTCACGAAGTAAAAAAAAAAATACTAAAAAGAAAGGAGAATAACATACGAAAAGCAATAGCTTCGGTAATAAGCCTAAGATAGTGATATTGAGACTGCATCTGTGAATGTTTTCAGAAACGACTGAGCATAATTGCCTCACTAAAGAAGTCATGTCATGTTTTTTATCATTATTATTTTAATATGTCTCTTGAGGTTCACTTACAATGTTAATAAAGTTTTTTTGCAAAGAAATGCATATATTAGCACAAATTATTATTTTCAACCCTCATTATGACTGTCTAAAATGATCTGTTTTAAGGGGCCGTCACCCTTAAGACTTGTTAGTAAATGCAACTATTATGACTGGCTTACGTCATTGCATTGAACAAAGTATCAACCCCTGCATCAAAGCAAAAGTTATTTTATTCTCTCAATTGTTCTGTTGTCAGGATCAGCTCAAGTGCATGGATGCAGTAGATAAGAAATTGACAAGCATCTTTCTACTGTCTGTATCCAGTTGTAAACAGTGTCAATGATAATAATGAGTTTATTTGCATTTTGACAAGACACTCGGATTCGCGAGCAGGTGTCAGCTGTTTAGCGACTGAATGGCAGTGGGAGGGGCCTATGGTGCGATGATGTAAAAATATTCATCAATGTCTTGCACTAGAGGCAGTCATCTGCAAATGTATTTGCCCCTCTTAACAAAAAAAAAACACATTTAAATGTGCCATTTTTGGATCTTATTTATTTAAATCCTCTTTTTTGTAGCCTACTGATGAAGACATTTTAAGCTATGAAACTTGCAGGTTTGTTTTAATGGAAAATTAGTGCCATGTCATGCCCCCTTTAAGGTTACAGCCAGTTTGAAAATTATAAATATCTGCAATTAATCACAAACCTGAAGCTAAAGCAGAAAAGTTTTAAGAGAAAGGAGATTAATAAATTAAATTAACTAATAATTTCATCAGACTCTCATTGTTTTAAACTGATGGATGTTAACAATTTATGTTAGATGCAGCCTTAATATCACTTCCCTATGTTAAATGTGAATAGAGATACTGGTGGCTCCAAGTCCTGCGAAATTTGAGGGCACTCTTTATATCCATCTTCATGCATATTCAAACAGACACAGAATGAAACGCTATAATTAATGTCACACTGACCCTCCTCTCACTGGCCCATGGCCAGGCTCACAATAGGAGTGCATGGCAATGAGGAGGTGCATGAGAGCTGCTGGCAGAGTGCAATGAGACGCACCTGCTGCTTTTTGCACCTTATCACCAGTGCCTAAACCCCTCCACCTCAATCTCTGCACCAGTTCTGGCCCATTGGTGGAAGGTGTCCTGAGTTGACAAGTCTGATCAGCCTGTCGGGCACAAGGAACGCTAATTCACGCCAATTCTGACCGCACATAAAGAGCTTGTCCTTGAGGTCCAAAATAGCTAAACTTAACTGGGAAGCCACTTAAACAATGACCACCTGGCCCTACTCTTCTGGATCAACCCATCGCTTCTGTCTTGAACATTGGAGGTCACCATATAGGCCTACCTGACTTTTGGCCACCCTCAGAATACTCTTCCTTTATATTTGTATTTTTGACCAAGAAAACGAATTTCTGAAGCATGAAACTGTGTCTGTCTTTCATCCCTTCCATATTTGGAGAATAGAGAGGTTTATTCAGTATTCTAGATAATTTTTTAAACAATGGACTGAAATACTGAAATGTATGGTTTTCATTAGCCAAAGTGAACAAACAATCAGGGAGATTGATGACAACTGCCATATGCTACGGTCTAACAGATGAGCCTACTGTGTAGCTGAGGTTCTGCACCAACAATTATACATGAGAAATCATAGCACACATACAAACATCAAGAAAAGACCTAGGATATCTGCTCAGGAAAGCAAACTAGCCTGTTACAAATACCTCATAACATAGATGCAAGCTCACAACACACATTCAGTTGAGTGGGAGAGCAATTCCCCACAGCACTCACACTTTACAATACAGACTTTCTTGCAAGTCAATACATTGCATGTGTTATTCTTGTATGCAATTTATCAGACAAACCATTTATCCTGTGTCACTGAGGGTCCATCTGTTCAACCAAGGTATGATTGATTGTCCATGAGATGATCACTGCAAACATGCTTGTCTGAACAGGGCAAGTAATTATGAGAAAAGCCTCAGAATAGGAGAAAAGCCAAGTAGCATTAGGAGGCCAAACGAATTCACATAAACATTCTCCTTCTCTGGAGTTTTGTGAGATATTTAATGCATCAATGGTTTCTAGTATGTGGTATATTCGGACATAAAATAAGACAATAGTCTTTTTTTTTTTAAACTTAGAGCAATGTGTATAATAAGAGCCATCAAAAATGGTTAAAAACTGTCACGTAATTTGATTAACTGATATTTTTGTATGTGTAAGCATCACCTAAATCGATCTTACATTTTTCTGTTATTCTAGAAAAAAATATTTGCTATAGTTATGCCTGATATGGGCCTAGAAAATATTTGGGTCATATTAATAAGGAGCCTCTGGACTCATGTGAACAGTGATAATAATTTAATTGAAATGTTATTATTTCATCAAGATTGACTACAGAAGGAACTTAAGCTGGTAAAAGAATCTACACTGAGAACTAAATTGGACCTATAACAGCTCCCAGTGGAACACCATATAGAGATGCTATGATAATAGTTTATCAGACTTGTTTGCTAATTCAGATACAATTCTGTTTGAGAGATTACTGTAGGTAATACTGCTAAACCGAAGTGCTATTTTTTACATATGAGCAGAAAATATGCAAATATCTTACATGTCAGCAATACAGATCTTCCTACTCGCTGTGTTGAAAAAAAGTTATATTGACAAGCATGCTGCAGATAATGTGTGACATACATGTGGCAGGACTGAAGGGGGAAAGGAGAAGTATTGAAGACACAAAAACTCTAATGGGGTCATAATAAGAAACCACACACTAATTTACTACAGAAAAAAAAACATGAAAATGTAATGTGGTTATGTGGAGATATCATTGTGCATGGATAAGTCAAACTGAAAGAAAGTACAACTTGAAACTGGGTGCTTGCAACAGATTAAACTAAATCTGACAAACATTTCTGGTGCATCAGATTAATTGAGGAAATTAATTTAAAAAACATGAATTTTATATTTGTTGTGCATTTTACTGTAACAAACTTCAACTTAGCTCAAATATGTCCTTTTACTTTACTTGCATAGCCTATAGTTCATAATAAAGTGTGCTATAAATCACTCTAAAAAAAAAAAAAAAAAACAGTTTTTAGGCTAGGCTATGGTTTGCCACATGAGCAATATTGCTTTTGTACTAATTACTACTTTTTTTCAAATGGTTCAGAGAACATTCAAAAGCAACGTTCCCATAATACTTGCTTGCAAAATGATGAAATACAGAAAATATTCCCTTAATGTTTTCTCTAACGTCCACATAGGCCTAACCAAGAAAAAAACGTTTTTGAAATATATAAAAATAAAAAAATAAAAGATTTTTGAACATTCAGAAATAACGTTTGGGAACGTTAGCAACCCGTTCTTGTAACATTTTTTTTTTAAGCTGTGGAGTTCTTTTTCTTTTTTTATTCCCCGCCTTATCGCTGGCTGCCTTTACATTCTAGTATGAATTAACTATTTTGATTCCGAACTAACACTTGGTTACAAAAGACTACAATGTGCTGCTGTACAACCGGAGACAGAATAGTAGGCTACATTTATAAGAACATACTCAAAAAGTACCTATATCATCTATGGAAACCTAATTTGTACAGTCGTTGTTGTAAATAAAATAAAAAACGCTGTAATGAGCGTTGGTATCAAATCTCAGAGCAACTTAATCAGAGGTCACTGAATAATCCTGATGAACAGCCCTCAGCATCCCAACTGAGAATCTGGAGATGAAAACACACACTCCGTTTTCAAAATATAGCCTAACACTCTAATATCACAAATAAAGGCAACAGTGTAATGCACAGAACAAAAGCAGGAACAAGCATCTGAAAATAACATTCTCACCTCAAATACGGATCCACTTTATTGCACGTGGGAGAAAAAAGAGGCACAAAGGGATCCCGTTTTAAACTCGTGATCTATAACACGAGTGATGTGCCGTTGTGTTTTTGTGTGTATAGCCCATGGGTTGGACCAGATCCGTCAATGAAGAAGAACCAGCATCTTCTGTCCCGGTATCGAAACCCGCTCCGCTTCTGTCCTTCAACACTGTCAGTCTCAGACAGTCTCAACTGGTACACGGGGTCCGTACAGAAAACGAGCACTCCAACTACAATAATACAATGAAAAAGATGCTGGTAATGTATTCGGTTTTTGTCTCGCTTTGGCGAGATGCAGGCGGTTTTCACGCGCACCAGGCTTGCGCTTTCGTTCAGGGGCTGAGCGTTCACTGTGTGCCTGTCAAAAGCAGAGGAGGATCTCTAATACGAGAGCGCTTATATACACTGAGACGTGGGATGCGTGTGATTAAGTCACTCGATGGGGGGATGAATGCTCAATCTATTGAATTTATTTTATGTTCGTCTCCATGCATCGGTTCAAATAGAACATTTGTCCATTCCTGTATGAGTCATTTACAGCCATGGTTGAGACTGGAGATAGTGTCACTTTTTACGGTAGTTAATGTGTTTTTTTAAGGGTGTTTCTAAGTCAGTTTTATTACAGGTAGCATTACAAGCATACAGTTAAGCCTTGGCTGCAGAAACAACAACAACAAAAAACTCTTTCTTGAACATTTCTACCCTTATTGCTTAGGAAAATAGATACAGTTAACACGCACTGACCTTGGGTGACAGCATTATGTCTCAAATGAGGATTTGTCATCACATTGGGAACCTACCATCAAAGAGAATAATACAGACAGATGATTAGTTTTAAAACAAATATAAAAAATAAAATTGATTAAAAGGCAAAAAAAAGTTGTCTAACAAAAACATTATCATTGAATTATATGATAACACTTTATTTGTTACATAATGTTACATGTAGCCTACTTACCATAATAACAGTAAATTATGCATAATTACATGCAACTAACCCTCAACCAAATCCTAACCCTACACAACCCTATAGTAAGTACATGTAGTTGCTTAATACTTAAATATATTATTACACTGTAACAATGCCACTGTTACACGTATGGTCTGTCTCCCTTGTTTCATTGTGTTTTTGGTTTAGTCCTGTGACCCAGTTTTCACCTGTCTGTCTAATTAGTCATCTCCTTCACCTGTGTCCTGTAAATTATCTAATTAAGTTCCTTTTGTTTGCTCTGTGTATTTATACCCTGTTCTCCCTCAGTCTGTTCTAATTAATGTTTAGTGTGGTTTTCTCCTGGTTCCTGAGTTTTGTCATTAAAGATCATTATCATCATCTTCCTTCGTCTTCATGCTATTTCCATACCACGTGACGTAACAGACACCTTAAAATAAAGTGTAACCAATTATATTTATGAAGAATTTTATTACACATTCGTTCCAACATTATATTATGTTATATTATATTATGGCCTGGTTTCACAGAAAGGGTTTAGATTAAGCCATGGTTAGGCCTTAGTTCAATTAGAACATTAAAAGCTTTTAAACATGCCTTAGAAAAAAATTACTGGTGCATCTTGAGACAAAACAGTGGCACTTATATATTTTAAGATTTGTCAGTGCAAGTTGCTTTTGCATTTTAGTCTGGGACTAAACGTAAGCCTTGTCTGTGAAACAGGGCATGAGCCTAAATATGACAACTTAAAATACGTGTCTTGAGAGTATTGTTCAGCTTTTTGGTTAAAAATCCACCTTCATTATAGCCTACAGATGACCCCTGAATGTATGCCAGGGTGTGTAATTATGTTCACTTGTTATTGAGCAGCTAGAAGAAAAATAAAAGATATTGATGATTTTTTTTTAAAACTGACTGATTTAAAACCAGTGTTTTAAAAAAAACGTAGTTTCTGAAACAGACCTTGTGACTAATTTCCCCATTTGACAACTATTCCTGATTCATGCTTTAAAATCAGGTGACGAGCAGTGCTGACACAGTTTTTCCAAAGGCTTGTATAAATCAACTTTGCAGAAATGGACTATGTTGAACATGCTCTCACACACACAGTGGGCAAAAAGAGAATAATGCACCACGTGATATGAAGAGGCTGTGTCAGTTATACAGCACACACACGGTGAGAAAAGGTTTGATGATTCCAACTGCACTGGACATCATAAAATACTACAATGGCTTGTCAAAAAAATACTGAAAAGATACTTGTCATTTTGAAAGGCACAAACTGGGGATCCTCATTGCCACACTGCTCAAGTGTCTTTACATTTTTACAAAGGCAAAATTGATTATACTAATCTTCACTGTTACTTGTTTAAATTTCGTTCTATGATGATGTCTAATAAGATTTTCTATGTAAATGCATGTCTAATAAGAACATTCATCTATACACACCATGAAATGTCAGATTTGAATTTCTAAAATATGTAGCTGAAGACATGATGAAAACAAAATCTGGACACTATTCAATACTGATGATGAAATGAATGAACAGCTGAATGATCCACCTGATTATGAGTCTAGTTATACAATTATGCAAGGTTATGCATTACAATTTCATTCATTAATGTTTAATTTGGCGGGAAAAAAAACACTTAGGAATCTACCAGATGTTAAAAGCACTCAGTCGTTGCAAGGTGGTTAAAACATATTTATGAACCTTAATGACATTTTTCTCACTGATTTTTTTCATAATCGGCTTTGGAGTTACTCTACTTGATAATGAAGCATTGATTAGATTCTCAGACTACTAATGGCTGAAAATCCCTAATAACGGCAGAAGAAGATGAGGCTAGTGTGCCCACTAAGGGAATTGGGACAAGACCAGTGTACAGTATGTGCCAGTAAAAGCGGGTGTTTGAGGTGGTCAGGCAAAGACTAAAGCTAAAGCCCAGTTGTATTGTTCCAGTGAGGATTTAGTGCTTAAGCACCATGACCATGATTAAGAAACAAGACCATCTGCTATCCTGTGTCAGAATGACAGGAGCTTTTTCACATGTGCACTCTCACTCTCTCTCTCTCTGTCATGCACACGTTAATTCAAAACTCATGACAAAACCCGTACACAGATGTTTAATATGGTCAAGCCTTTACCATTTACGGCCAACATTTTACTGAAGCATCTAGTTTAGTGGCAATGAGAAAAATGCTTTATATTTTGTTTGAGGCACAGTGGCTTAGTTGGTATACACAGCAAGAAGGTCCCCGGTTCGAGGGCTGGCCGAGCAAGGAGTCCTTTTTGTATGGAGTTTGCATGTTCTCACCGTGTCAGGATGGGTTTCCTCCGGGTGCTCCAGTTTGTTTCCCCCATTCATCCAAAGACATGCAGGTTAAATGGATTGGCCATACGTGTAAATGCGTGTGTCTGTCTGTGTGAGTCCCAAGCCATGTAATGGGAAAGGTTGGAGAAAGACCTGGCAACCTATCCCCGAAAATCCCATTGCCAAGGCTTCATGGACAGTCTCTCGCGTAAGGCAAGAGATGGCCATAGAATCACCAAGAGTCGGATACGACTGAAATGGTAAATGAGAGAGAGAGAGTGTTGTGTTTGTGTATTGTCCATCTAAACATCTTGTCCACTTTAAATATTTTTGGATTAGAACATATATTCCGAACTCTTCTCGCCCTGTGGCACACTTACACTGTAGACAGATAGAGCTTGACAAATAAGACAGCATTCGATTTCTCAGACACACCACTTTAAATCTAGACACAGCAGGAGGATATCGAGGTCCCTGAGGACACAATTACACACACTGTAACACCAGCACTGTCTTCTCATTAGTAACCACCCAGCAATTAGCCTAGCGATTAATGACCCCCACAGAGGCCTTGTTTAATGTTTAGATTAGAAATCAAGATATGTTTTTACATGTGTTTACAGATTTCACTGTAAATGCAGTAGAACAAGGGTCACAGGAAAATACTTAAAAATTCTTAAAACTTTCTGAAAAGTAAAAAAAGGACAATACTTTTTCAGAAAACAAAATTTCTGTCTAGAAGTGACGAAAACTGTTCTGAAACACTGGCACATTGGTTAAATGGGGAGATTTCATAGACTTCTCGTTTTTGTAGGCTACAGCTAGTTCCACAACATACCTAAGTACCACAAATACATAACCCTAACCCACCATTTAAAAAAAAACTTTGCTTTTAAACCTTTTTTACAAATGAGGATGTCCCCAAACAAAGTTTTGTCCAACCTAGTCTCACTGGAAAAACATGTCGACGGCGACTTTTCTGCAAAAAAATATTACGTTGCTTCTTGCATTTTCATAAAGCGAAGTGTCCAGTGAGTGGAGCTAAAGGAGCATTTTGTTTTATTCAAAACAGATGAAGGAGAATGTGACAACATTTTATTACACTGGTTGTTATAAGTATTGCAGAAGTTTGAAAAATAAAATGTCCAGTGAGTGGACATTTTATTATGAATGATTTATCCATGGCCATCTTCATTTTTTAAAAATTAATTTGCCCTTGTAACCTTTAATCAAAACAACTTTCCCTCCTTCTTGCAGCGACATCTCGTTGGATGACCTGATTATTGGAGCAAAGGCGGGACAACCCGTCATTCAAATAAGATCGTAGCAATAGCAAACCACAACAATCAAACTAATTCCTGATGGACAAAATCAAGTCCTGCCCCACATTTCTTCTTGTTTGAGAAGCTGTTTCATTCGGATATTATGCTGCCTTCGTGTGCTATCGAAAATGTCCTGCTTTCCTGCTCGTCGCATTCAAGTGCTTTGTTGTCGAAAAGAATAGGAATCATGGAGGACAGGTTTATTCCTGCCTATTTATTGGGAAAATCTTATAAAAAATTATTTAGCGTCCCATTCATTGACAATCATATAGAACATTCACCGCTCTATCGAGATTGTCAGCTTGCTGACGATTCTACAATTTTGATCAAATGCAGGCTATTTTTGCTGTGAATAAAACCATACATGGTAACACTTTATTTTAAGGTGCTTGTAATAAGCAGTAATTAACAGTTAATAAGACACTTATAAGACCTTATAAGATGCATATAAGATGCATAAGCATTAACTACTTCATATAAGGGTTAATTAAAGGTCCAGGCCCTGAAGAGATCAGGGAAACTACTCCCTCTTGGGAAGGTACATTTTTAAGGGCCTGGGAGTTTGTGTTACCATTTATGTTTGTTCGGCTGTTCTAAAAGTGCAATGTATTGATACTTGAGAAATTTATTATTTAATTTAATTTATTTGTTATCATTAGTTAATGCTTATATGCATCTTATATGCATCTTATAAGGTCTTATAAGTGTCTTATTAACTGTTAATTACTGCTTATTACAAGCACCTTAAAAT